GAATTCTCAATGAAAACACGAATAAAATATGAAAAATATTAACATTTAATAAGTAAATAGATATACATATTGTAGGAATGGTTTCTCAATTATAGCTATTATAAAATGTAGACACAATAAAATCATCAATAAATATATATATTTTCAGCAAATAATTTACTAAATAAATGCATATTTTTATTATTTCTCAATTATTCTTATAATTATTTATTATATTTGAATATAATTGAAACTTATAAAGTAATTGAAACACGTTTATTAATGCATTTAAGTAACAATATCTCGTTATTATGTGATCATAATGTCTTAATGTCTTATTTAAGTCATCCCTAATTGAGACCCAATGATAGATTCAGTGAAGGAGAGGTCGACTCACTTCATAAATAAATCAATTATTAATTTATAATATGTTTTTAATTTGCTCTTAAATTCATTGTTTTACTGCTTTTTGTATATAAAGATATTCTGTTGTCTATTGTCTATCATTACCTATAGTTTATCGGAAGAGAAAATATATTTTATTTTAAAAACAATAAAATGAATAATTTATAAGTTTATGTTTCCATAATAATTGTGTTTATAAGATATTCTGTATATATTTATCGTTGAATTTTTTTAATCAATCAAATTTTAATGATTTTAATCGATTAATAGAAAATAAAAGTATTTTCATTTTGTTTTTCAACTAACATTAATTGACGAAAAATAAATTGAAAATACTTTAATTAGTTTTCTCTTAGTTTTCCTAATTTGACGTCAATTTTCATAATATATTATCGCAAATAATGTCTAAAAACATAATAAATTATTTTTAAAATTCCGCTCAAGTATTGCATCGAAATTTTTTTTATTAATCCCTTTCGATGTTAATTATTTAAGTAAATAATACATTCATTTTATATTTATTCATAATTTCTTAGATATTATTAATATTTGTAACGAATTTAATCAACAAATTTTAAAAATTAATTATAAACACGATTAATAATTTCACTCCTAATTATGAGGAGCCCTAAGACTCTGTTAAACTAAAACTTAGAAAATCAATCAATTGTTTGATTTAATCAACATTTAATGATCTCATATGATATGTGTTTTAAGGCATAACTGGATTTTGAGTCCATTTATAGAATAATATATGCTTTAAGTTATAACGAAATTAAATTTTAAACTATTAATACATGTTATGTTAGGATTAAATTAAAATTAAAATTTTTAAAAATGTCTTTATGTCAATATATCCATCAATTCTTTAACATTTTGTTATATCCATTAACTGAAAACAATTGAAACATTTCTCTAAAATCACAATCAGATACACTATATATTATATACCGTTTGAATATATCCTTCGATTCAATTATTGCTGTGATATGAGGGGCAGAGATATCATGGTAAAATATCATGGTAATAATATCATGGTTTATAATAAACTTTTAATTTATATGAAAAACAGATTCAATAATAATGCACTCATTTCATAAATAATAACATGAATTTTACCCTAAATGTGTTTTAACCATAATTTTATGAGTGATTTAAATAAGTTTTTAACAACAATTTCATAGTTGTCTTCAATGAGGACAAGAAAAGTTCATGAATTTGAAAATCTTATTCGTTTGTAATCTCAAGTGTTATGTCATTGGCTTTGGTTTACGTAACCGTTTGAGCACATGGTGTCGGAGCGGGTGTTGGCCTCACCGCCGGCCAGGAATGGGTTTCGTTTGGCGGCCCCGCCGTCACCCCACGGGTCCTCAGCGATGGTATAGGACTTGTGCTGCTGTGCACTACTGGCAGTCAACTGTTGTGTTTGATTGTTATCCACAAATCCTGAACTAATGTTTTGGTTAACAATAGAATTAGTCTTTTGTTGTTGTGTTTGCTGTTTATAGGAGTTGTCCGGCGGTTGAAAGAGTCGTTTGTTTGGCTGTTCTGTCATCAGAATATTCTCGCCTTCGAAAGGCTTGTAGTCGTATATGTTTCGCAAGAGTGAGAGCACCGGTACGTAACACAGGTTTGATATACCGATGCATATGTTGAGCGTAAAGAATCCGATCGTCTCAACAATACCGCCCGCAATGATGGGTCCGATAGCGTAGGCCAGAGAGTAGGAGATGTCGGCGATCGCGTAGATCGAGCCGTAGACCGAAACGTATCGCACATCTACTAAATAGCCGAGTGTTGGCAGAAGTGATGTGTCGACCAGTGCTATACCGAAACAGATGCCAGATATGGGTAATATGAGAAACCAGAAGGACTCGGCGAACGGCACCATAAAACTACACACGCCCTCAATTGCCAGCCCTACGGCCGCTATCATCCACATATATCTTGGATATTTGTCGGCCAATTTGATTGTGGTGTAAACGCCGAGAACGTGCGGGAAGAATGCGGGCAACCATATGAGACCCATTTGCCATTCCTCTATGTCTGGCATTGTATTCTCCATCCATAAAGAAATGGTTGGCTCTAAGAATGCCAGCGAAACGTTAGCCATCACTAAAGCGCCGGCACAGCAAGCGATATATGGATCCATCAATAGTGTATGAATGGGAGTTCCTGTGGGTCTCTCCACACCGGACTCCTTCATCTGTTGCCTGACGGGTCTCATCACAAACTTTAACATAATTGCGTCCAATAGACAGACTAATGACAAGATAATGAATGGCACTTCCTTTCCGGCGATCTGATAGAGTGTTCCGCCAAAGGGTGGGGCGACTAAACTGCCGAACGATATGAACGCCAACGCGATTCCCAACGCCTTCTGGCGCTCCTGTTCTTCGGTGAAGCGGTCGGCGATCATCGCTAAGCCGGATGTGTCGGCGAAGGCAGAGCCCACGCCCTGAAGACTTCGCGCCAGGAATAGTATGCCATAACTCTGTCCACAAGCGAACACTGCGGTCGAGATAAACATGATTGTGAGGCCGATCATCATTGGTATGTCATAACCGATGCGATCGATGATATGCCCGGAGAATGGATTAATGAAGAGCTGAACGAAAGCCTTTGAGGCGAATAGCATTCCGACGGCAGTGTCTTCGCCCTCATAGACAGTGATACCGCCGACACGGAAGGGCACGAACTTATTCGACACGTTTCGATACTCAATGTCGGCGCCCTCCAGATGTGTAGTCCAGGCGCCGATGTCTCGCAGATAGTCGGGAATGATTGGCACGATTACCATATATAACATATTGTCCAACAGTAGAGCCACGCAAACGATGATCAAAATGATGCGGCGCTGACTCCGGGGTTCCTCCACTTTCTCGTTGATCCTCTGCCAGAGGACAGCCGTGTCTTCGTTCAGAATGGGAATGATAGCCATTTTTTTCGCTGATCTTTCCGCTGATGTGCTCTCAAAACATACACTCTTTTTCTCACTCTATTTCTAATCTCTTCACAGATTGTGATAACAAATCCAATTATAGGGGTTCTCTCAGAAGATCATTGTTTTGCTTTTTATTGTGTGTTCATCGATGACTTCACTCGACACTAATCTTCACATCTTGTAGTTGTGACCCAAAACACCCGATATATTCAGTGCTCCTCACAATTCATCACCTGATGAGCTGTCCTGTCGCCTGTCTGTGCGCATAGAAAATGATACAAAAAGAGTTTTAATTATGTTTTCTGTTCACGGATTGTCTAAATTAGATTTTTTTTCGTATGATTTATTGCTTATTAAATGTATCCACAAATTAATTAATTGATAATTACTACTCATGTAATTTCTCTCGCTATCAAATCTGTCATTTTATTAGACCCTATTATAATTGAATTGCTTATTGAATAAAAAGCATATTATAATAATGAGAGCTGACATACAGGCGACAGTTCACACATACAGGCAATGAATGAATAGTGTCCTTTTGAAACTTTTATCAATGATATGCTCTTCACTTGTCTTACAAACGAATAAAATTTTTGCGAATTTATTAAACAAAAAAAATTGTCGACATTTGATCGCATCTAAAATGTAAACTTATTTAAACATAACATAAAACGTATTCAGTTTTTTAAGTCTTAATTAGACTTTATATGCAATTGAAATGAAGAATTGAAAAAATATATTCAAGAATAAGTAGTAATACATCTGAGAAGCGTTTAGAATATAGTTTTGAATGGAGAGCACCCGTAGTGTATATGTGATAACACCACGAATGCAGAGCTGCTGTGGAGAAACATAAGCCCAAATGTGTTTTGCTTTCATTGCATTCGTGATGCAGTGATGAGAACGTGACAACCAGTTTGAGGTGAACACCATCTAAATTATGGCGAAGTGCTCCCAATGCTACTGCATCTCTCTCTCTCTCTCTCTCTCTCTCAAAACATTTGCTCTTTCAGACCAATTCTCAAATTATTCACTGCTTTTCTCATTTGCCGTTATATAACAATATTTTTACTTTTACTCGAATGACTCGTAAGGACTGACTGTCAGACTGTAGGAAAACACATTGAATTTAGTTATCGGAAAACTTCATACACTAATTATTTTCCGCTGAAGACCTACCAGTAATATAGCGCACAAATACGAGCGCTCGTATAAAACCTAACCTAACACTACATTCGTATACATGACTTGTATTATCCAATACTCAATGTCTATAATCTTTCTGTTGTATTATTCACTCTTCTCTGTGTTCCCAATGGACTCAATGCCTATTCGCACGCCTAACACAAGCTATAGCTCGGAGAGAGAGAGAGAGAGAGAGAGAGAGAGAGTACAATAGATTGTTGTGTATTATCTGTTGTATTCCTATACTGTTGTTGTAGTGAATGTGCGATCATTTGCAGACATTCGTGAAATGCATTTATTGGTGGATCGCAAGAGTGACGCCAAGGAGTCTTATGGCAGGGATTGGGCTCTTCGATGGCATCAATGGTTTGCGCAGAGATGACTACTTCCTAAGACGTTTGCCGTGTCTTACGGATGGAGTGATCCCTCCCAACGAGTGCACTGTTCCGATGGCCATAAGTTTGTACGTTTGAGTTCCTGATCGCCACACAATCAACAATGATAGTCATCGTCCGTATATAAATCGGTAACCGTTTGGTTCAGCGCCTGATTCTCTCCCCACATATCGCGAGAGATTAGTGTTACTCGTAGTCGCAGGTAAGCCGTTGTCAATATTTGTATTGTCATTAACACCACTTTCCGTCGACTCTTATCCCTTATATTCGGTAATCAATGAGTTATTAAAAGCGATTTTGTGTATTGATATCAATACTTTCATAAATGCATTGAATTATTGGCTTTCACTTTAATGTTTGATTAAGAAAATGAAAGTATTTAGTGTTTTAGTATTTATTATTATTGAGTCGAGTTTTGCTTCCAATCACGTATTCTTGTGTCTACTTTTATTGACAAAAATAGCACAAAAAAGTTTTTAATATTCCGTTCACGTCTTCCTTATAGATGAAATGTTAAGCTTTTTGAGTGAATTAAAACTAAAAGTTTTCTCCGTTGCCTTTCAAATGCCTCTTCACTTGTGTTTTTTGCTGTAAAACATTTCACTAAAGCTTCTTCACAGAGAATCTCATTTTAAAGATTTATTATTTTCAAAAAATACAAATTTATTATTATTTTTTTGCGTTAAATANCGTTGCCTTTCAAATGCCTCTTCACTTGTGTTTTTTGCTGTAAAACATTTCACTAAAGCTTCTTCACAGAGAATCTCATTTTAAAGATTTATTATTTTCAAAAAATACAAATTTATTATTATTTTTTTGCGTTAAATAATAATCATTCTCTGAGTTTATATGCAAATTTATTACAATAACAAAGTATTGATTAAGTTTTGCTTGTTTTGAGCAAAATGAGTGTATAATCCAAGTGATGAGAAAATAGACATCCAGTGGAATGGGATGTGAATAAAACAATTTGTTGGCATTTGTTTGCACACAAATGACTCACTTTTTGGATGAATGGCCGCAAAGAGATGTAAAACAAATATATGGTTTAACCGTAAAAAAATAACCCAAAAAATAGAGGCTAAATAATAAAAAAGTTTAACAATATTTATATAATGCATATCAAAAGAAATGGGATTTATAGTTGGATGGATGGAGGGATGCGGTCGGCAATTTAATTTGCCCGTCCGGTCACTTCACTCAGTTTCAGCTAACTTTCCTCTCACCAAAAACCATACGATGCTCCCAATGCTACTGCATCTCTCTCTCTCTCTCTCTCTCTCTCAAAACATTTGCTCTTTCAGACCAATTCTCA